GAAAATGTACTCCAACTAGATCCTCGCGTGATGATCACGTGCCACATTCGACCGTAAATCAGGTCCAGATGACGTTTTAGCTCACTGCTCACACTGTTCCCATCGAAGTTTTCATCTTTGATCAGCTCCCGGGCCTTGTCAATCACTGTCATCTGTTGATCAAATGGCATTGTGGCAGAAATCACAGAAACATCGGCACCAAGACTGGGTAGTATGGATGGCATATGCACTTTCTGATCCCGATAGCCCCGTCTGTTCATGTAAACCGTATGGAAATGATGCAAATAAGAGAAAGTTATTGGAGAGACCATGTGGACTGTATTATGTGATTTCGCGATTTGCAAGTGCTTTTGCCTTATTTGTTCAGATACGCACAATAAAACATACTACTTATATATTGAACCTTCACCGCAACAAACAGCAACTGTCATCGCAATAAATGAGATACGAGCTACTGTGATTCACATTTGTCAGTAGTAGATTTGTTCATTAAACCGTACAAAATGAACATCAATGGATGATGAAACTCCCACTCATTTGAAGTTGCACTCAATACTACTTTAATTACCACAAAGAAAGAAACTTGATTAAACCGTTATTCGAGCAGGATTTATGAATTACCTACGCATTTCATAACCCACCAGAAATCGTCGGTGGCGAGAATTTGGCACAAAATTATTATTACTATTGTTGAAGTGATTTTCATTTTGTTGACTCATCAAGCGTCAGTTGAACCATTTGACTTACTCACGAAAGCTTATTGATTTTCTCTTTGCTTACAGCATGCAGTTTGTTCCAGAAGACAATGTGGTCCTAGAGGTCAATAATACCCTGTGTACCTTTTTGGAAAACATTTTCTACGTGATTGATTACACATCAATTTACGGTGCTCAAAGTAAATAAATTCTTATCCAGTATAGCCGCAATATTGAAATCCGTATGACCACAGTAAAAACTTGTTTTATTCAGCCCACAAAAGGTAGGATGAAACGATAATGAACCATAAAGGACAAATGAGCTTTGATGTTACTCGTAACGAACCATTGAAATATAATGGAAGTGTTTGTGATAACCAACAAGACCATCGAGAGTGTCTGGTGCCTCTGAAAAATCGAATGGGCTAATTCAAGCTCGATACTCTAAACTTCATCTGACAGTTTATAATAAACCAGTAGGGTAATTACGCAGAACAACAGTTCGCTGATGGCACAACTATGAACCAGTTCCCGGTTGATTGCATTAAGTTCAAACTATCGTGGGCACTCTCAAAATGGTTACTTAGTGGTATATCTTTCGACTTCTCAGCATGTTCCAACATAAAATTTTCCCTCTGTGTATTCACATGGACTAATGCATTGTATATTGTTTTTTACTTGATCAATATTGATACTCTCCGTGATATATGACCAAGGAAACCAAACATCTAACGGATTCATTGAACAAAAGATTCGGAGGTGGTTGGGGGATTTACATCCCAGTTTCATATGCTGCTCGATTTCTTATTGTTAAAATGAATGAAACAAATCTATCGAACTGCCGGATGCACAACAATAATTATTATTACATCCGACATGAACAGTTCTGGTACTTTTGAAGTATCATGAATGGAATCACCTATACGATTGTTTAAATGCTTTAAGTATTGTTAATAGTCTTGAGTGTGGGTTTCACCCTTGAAAGATCGTTAATTGCCCACCACTTCACTGCATTTATGTGCAATGGAAATATCTATAATGAACGATAAAGCGCACTAAGCAGCGTTTCCTCCTCTTCAGGATTCGTCAACATGGTGTACTTTTTGTGGCCTTGTCAGGACCCAACCGGAAGTTTTGCGGTTCAAGGTTTGACAGGGACATAAAATGTACTCACCGCTGACGAGTCTCGAAACACTTGTCCAGTGCGCTTCTCTGTTCAACACAGATTCTTCCGTTATATATAAAGTTTTTAGCAGTTTCCTACGATTGTTTACTTCCTAATGGTTGGGATAATTGTAAAACTATTTTGTTTACTCTCCATTGGAACAAAGAGGTTTTTCTTCCTTGCAAGTATCATCACGTGCATAGATAGTATCACCACAGTAGATCAAACTGTACCTGTATCTACCTGAAACCAACATGGTCTCCCTCTCTCTCATCATAGTAGAATTTGCACCCTTGTTTTTACTGCCTGAATCTTTCTCATGTGACACAACAGTCGGCCGTCATAGCCTGCCAGTGATCGACAGTTTATCATCTTACAATTCATATTTTTGCTGTTTCTCTGTTTCTCAGCCGAAAGCCACGTATACCTTAGTAGAAACTGAAACTGCTCACAATTTTATTCTTGAATTTTACATTCTTCTTTTGAATACATCATGACACAATGTTCAGGAAGAGAGAATCGAGCAATCAGAATGCTGCCATAAAACACAGATAGTAGAAACGTCAGGCGATGGTGATGGTATCTAAACACACGTCCTCTGGGGAGATAATTTGGTAACTTGAAATGATTCGATAAAAATTTTATGAGAAATCATTAATTTTGAGTAGTCGTGTAATTTAGTTTGTTCCCTAATTATCCACACACACTCACTATAAGTAGGATTTGATGAGTAGATTAGTGAACCTTACGTTTGTTTTTCAGTTAATATGCAATTTTTTCAGTAAACTGTATCTGTCAGTTTTCTGAAATCTAAATGCTTCCTCATTCAGACTTTGTGATCAGCTGACAAACCTAGGTAAATGGAAAAAAACATTAAATCTTCTACATCCAAGAGAAAACAAATAACAGAATAGTCGGTGATGGTTGACAGTCTACTTCAGAACCAAAAATGAAATCTACTTAATTAGCGTTTTGAAGTATCATAGAGAAATGGAGGTTTGAAACATTATGCGATTGTGAACTCTCATCAGCATCAATGTACGGACCGGTACCGTTAAGTTGGTTACCTGCATGTTCCAAACAGCACCATCCAAAACACGACACGATTTCAATCGAAAATAAACAATCTCGTTTGTCACAATTGACCATAAAAAATAGTTACAAGCGGAAGGGAAGAACTTACGCCTCCGGAACACCGATACCCAGTCCGTGACAAAATTCTTCAAGCGTGATTGTTCCCGATCCGTCCGTATCAAACAGTAAATTCCAGCGCTGGAATCAATGATTCGGATCAATAGAAAGAGCAGGGTAATTAGTACCATCAAACAAAATTGAGTTTGAAGCATTCCGATAACAAAATATAATGCTATTATGGGGAGAAAATGCAGAAGTCACTTGAGCAGGGGTTAAGTTATATTCAATCGTTCCCGAGTAGGCTGTTTCTTCTCGTGGAAGCAAACACAGTCTGTTTAATGCAGGTATATTTATCATTCCATATTTTACTGGATGAGCACAACTATGTGAGGAAAAATTGAACCATTATTGCAATAAGATAAACTTTTATTTCATTCAGGGTCAAGATATTCAAGAATCTGCCTGGAACGGTTCACGGAAATTCCGATTTATGATTCAAGTGTTTTAGTAAATTATGTTCTTACCAGTAGGTCAAAATAATGTATTCTTCTCTTGCGCTTCTAAAATTCAGTTGTGCAGGAATGTACGGGTTCCACGAGGAATACTGTCATATGCTAAGGTCCGGTCTCTCCGACCGATTTGCAAAACCTTCTACACTTGATGCTACGCACGTTTGCCGTCAGTTGTAATCTCCATCTAGTATCCATAGTATCCAAGCGATTAGAAAACTCTTGCGATTGAATTGGTGTCCCCGTCGAACAATGCTCGCTCGGTATGGGGATTTTCTGGATGATACATCCCTACCTGCTGTTCAATTGACAACTGAATGTGGTTGCATTCCCTATACAGTTTAGAAATGCGAAACCCTGAGAATTTCTGATGCAAACACACTCAGGACTCTTTTTCTTCTGTAACACTGGAGGAGGAAAGTACATTGTGAAAGCGTTTCGACTCAATTAGGACAAAGTTCTATTGAGGAGCAAAATATGATACCTCTGTTCAGTTGACATTTACCAGTTTCCAAAAATTTCCATGTAAACCTCCGAATATCATGATTGAACTACACGGCACTCTTTTATGGATCATAGGAAATATCACAATCATTGATCGCGTGTAAAATAATGAACATTAATTTTTAATTCAGTCCCAATGAATCTGTCACATGCAATTTTACTGTCTTCTACTAAAAGGTTTCCGTGTGTTTGGTTTCTCTCGTTTTCCTTGTCTGCGCATGATGTTAGCAGTTTATACCGTGTGATTTCTGTAAAGACTTACCCAGTTCCCCTTATTATATGGGAACTTCCCAGTGGTAATCGTGAATGAAATGTGACCTGTGCAGAGAATGCAACATACAAAACTTTATCGGGTACAATATGACCGAGTTCCACAAATACAATTTTACTCGAAAGACCACTCATGCTTCATCCTGTCCTCGTAATCTCGCCCGACTTCCCATGCATCTGCGCTGAATGATTTCTCGTCAATCGATTGCCTTTCATGATTGCTCGAATTTATCGGTTTTTATCCGTGTGCCGCTGGCCCCTATGACGGCTTTTGACTAGAGATGTGAAAAAATGCACAAATAAAAGACTAAAAAGTATCCACAATGGGAAATAGATATGTTGTTCGACAGACGTGTGATCATCCTAATGAAATTAAGGTTACTATAAGAAAACTAATTAGAAGAATGAATAAACAGCAGGGCTCACGCAGATGTAGGAGGATATCTGGAAATAATTCAGGGAACATTGAGATTTTTTAAATAAAAAGGAATTTTAGATCTGATGTTTGCTTCATTTTGAGTAAAGACCGCGTCACTGGCAGGGCTCACGTTTATGAGCGCTTACGAAATGATCAGTGTACCGAGGCTTTAAAGTAAACGTATAATCTATGGTCACTGAGTAATACTTTCTCGTTTTCAAGTTTTCATGCTATTTAGATAAAATTTGAAGGAACCTGTTATTATCTTCAGACACATACATATGTAACAGAAATCGAAACCTTGTTGATTAGTAAAACTGGAAAGGCTGTTAGGTTGTTAAGTTTGTTGAATAAAGGAAAGTGCGATAAACATGCGAATTTAGGTGGAAAGAAGCAAATCGCGTCTGGAGATCACCGTTCACCTCTGATGACTAGGACAGTGGTCACAATTGAATTCAACGGTCAGGTTCCGGTTCGCTGTCGATCTTCGTAATCTTTTCTGCCGTACTCTGAATAATTTATCATGCGTACAGCAGAGCCGTTTCCCGGTCAGTAAACACTTTAACTCACAGGGTTTATTCATTTGGTCAATGTGAAAACTGACATTTTGCCCACCAATAATAACTTATTGTGCTTTAAAGGGCCTGGGTCACACTGAGAATCATTTTTCGGCATACTATCCCGATAAAACAAGCAAAGCCAGAAGAACGACAGATTCACGGATACATTCGTTATGAGTATGACAGGTATGGTTTTATAATAATGACGACCAACCTACTCCTAATAGGTACAGTCATGGCGAGCAATCCATCACTGTTTCAGTGGTTTTGCGATTTCCAGTGATGCTACTGGGTTGCAAGTGACTACTTGTTTTGAGAGCCGCCCTTTCACGAATGCGACTTTGTGTTTGTGTTCATGACCGATTTGCCACGGTTCTTGGTCGATGTCAAGTTGGCTGAAAACAGTATGCAATGAGATTAAGATAGATTTATCATGTAGTCCCCAAAGTGAGATCCACCTCCACATTTATTGAGTGGTTAGTTTCTCAGTGCAGGCGCTGAAATATGTGGACAGAATGCAGAAAATCTCAGAAGAGAAATTAGAGGACCTGGGAGTTATCATGACAAAGGGCTTCAAAACAGCACGGTAAAATCCGAGGTTTAGAAACGGGCTATGTAAGATATGCTCCACGGTTGCATGAAGGAACCCTGATATTTTCATCACTCATTGTAGTAACATAGTAAGTTCACATTTGTAATACGGTGTTCAAGCGTATTCACCTTCCTTTGAGGATTTACCGAATGTTTAGAAGGGGTTAATATCCGACTACCGTGATGATCTCGGAACCGGGGGTAACAGTTATTAGCAGACGTTCAAGGAATCTTTATCTGTTCTCGTTGGAGATAAGGAGAATCAGAGGGACCTCAGTGAAGGTTTCAAGATAATCAACGACCAGTCGGGGATAAACTTAGAGGACATATTCTAATTCATCCCTTACTGTGTAACTAGGGCGTAAACCCTGATGCCTAAAAGTAACAACCTACTCGAAGAGGTTGTAATAAGCCCTAATCTCATAGCAGTTGAGATGACCTTGGATGATCATTGGTCTTCCGTATTCTCCAAAACGTTTATCCATTGTCATCAGGTGGATTGTATAGGATTTACTACTATGACACACATTCTGCTATTCAGAAAAAAACCCTGTCTATGTTTCAAGCCACCAGATTAGTCGACAACACAACGAACTGGACGCAAGACTGGAATGGACCACACAACGTCCGAAGCAAAGTGATCTGAGTTGAGCTGAAATGACAGATCATCAACGAAATCCATAAGTCAAAACTTTTGATGGTATCCATTGACATGATTTGAATAATTAGAAATATTTTAGCATTTTGTACAGCCCGATTTCGCATTACACCTTTTAATAAGTCTTCTTCGCTATGGTTTACGAGAGCAGGAGCAAGCCCTCAAGATCATCTAGTCTAAACACACGCATTCCCTGAAGTAACAACATAAGCAGTTCAATGAGTGAATATTCTGGTAAACACTTTATTTAGTACAATATGAAGTTTCTTGTATTTTATGAAACAAATTCTGAATGAATTTGTTTCATTACAAACAATTAATCAATAAGCGCCAAACAACTGTTTTTTATATCAAGCTCAATAACCATTTTTTCTGTTTATTTTTCACAAATAAAGTTACTATGGTGAATATGGAGAATCATAAACGATTGTGACCAGGGTTTAAACTGGCTTTTGATGGTTCTCAATCTCGTGATTTCAGGTTCAATTAGAGAGGTCGGTCAGAGACCTCAGCAGGAGGACAACAGTTAGTTACCGCCAAATACGATGACGGTCTGATAAAAAAAGGCGGTAAGGAATTTCTGTAATAAGCCGATCACACATATGAAAAGATTGCCGGAGTTCATTCAAGGGATACAAATAAAAAGATGAATAAAAGGAAGATACATCAGAGTCTAACAACCACAATTAAAATCCTACATACCAAATTATTCTCATAAACCCACATGATTCATCAGGAATGTGGGTAGAGTAAGGGATTACAGATCTGTTCCATCTGAGAAAAGGTCTCACATACCTAAGCATTGGAATGACTAGTTGAATGACAGAATTGCGTTTGATGATAGCGTTCCCACGATGAATTAGGTTTAAGTCGTTTTTAAGTGAACCTGAGAATATCTCAGGGGCACAAAGAAGAAAAGTTTTAAAAATTATTGTTTCAGTTCTCAACGAAGACATCACATTTTACCCAGTACCGAATTGCCTTAAATTGCTGACACAGAGGGATAACCAACACAGTTTACCCACGATTTTTTTACTGTGTTCAGTTCATAGAAGATTGCTTTGGAGCTGGGTGACCTCTGTATTGTATAGTGTTACCTGTGAAAAGTGATTAACAACGGTTAGCACAGAGAAGATCAGAAACACTGTTAAGTGGGGCGTGGAAAATGTATTCAGATATTTTCGAAAAAGTTTTAACTGTGAGGTGCTATTGGAGAAATTGAGCTTCCAGAATGATACGAAAGGGTTAGTGATACAAATGTTATTGGCATAAGTGAAAATGTGACTGTCATAAAGTACAGTCAATTTCTTGCTATGTCGCACCCCTCGGGAACTCGAAAAAGTAGGTAAATTCTAAGAACTGCGACCTAGCAGGGTAAACAGTAGTAGTTGCCAATAATTAGTATAAAAATCGGTTGACAGTTTTGTAACAAAATAACCCGGATTGATGAAAAGCAGGTTAATCCTGTTAGTTGTTTCCAATGTTTATAATTATAAACTGTTTATTTTTAATGGAATTTAGATTTACCGTCCTGTGTATTTTTTATGTATCGAAGAAATTTAAATCTTTCATGACGCCCTCAGCTCGTACGCTGCATGCGGTATTCAGCTTCTTTCACTTGTAAGTGTCTAGTTATGCCGAAACTACCTCCCTTTCTTCAGGAGAACTTTTTCTAACCCAATAATCCCATAATAATTCCAAGTATTCCTCCATTCCGTAGCGATGTGAGGCTAACCACAGAATTGAATATATGACGTCCACCATAATCTGCAACTGTTTTGGCTGTAATAATCCCATCAGTGGTAACCCAGTCAAGGAAAACAAAGGTGAACCAGCTGGGAAATATAGTGAGAAGGAGATAAGGTTGAAATGAGTGAAATATCTGTTACAGGGTATACTCAGAACATTGACTTCTTTCCCATATTCAAACTGCTTGTTTGATGTGCAATCTATTGATGATTTTCTAGTGGAAAGTGAGTATCATTAGCGCCTGTAGGTGTATATTCGCTCGTTCTCTTTTGTTTTTACCAGTGTATGTTCAAACCGATTGATGCATTCACCATGACCGTTGTTGGTGCGATCCCATGATGTGATTCATAAACCTTACCTTTTCAATTTAAGATGTCCGAGTATCAATTTAAGATGGCATGTTGCTATGTGGATAGTACGGTAGTCTGATTATCCCATCGTTTCACATTGTCTTATACGTTTTGTAATGCTCTTGTTGTCACTTGCAGTCCATCCTTGTGGTGAAGACACATCAGCTGTCCAGCTGAAGTTCACTGGGTTTGCTACGGACTCGCGGTTGTAGGCAAGGTGTGGTTTCTCGCTTGGGCTAGCTGAACAAACACAAAGTTCCTTGTCGCGGCTGAACTATCCGGCCGGTCGATAAATGAACCCCATCGGTCGTGTGATTTTCGAGCCAGCATAAGAGAGGGATGAGTTCTGAATCCGATGCTGCTTAAGTGTTGGTAGAGAATCAGTCGTGGAATCATGGGCCATATGGGAGATTTGGAATGAAAAAGTTCAAGCGATGATGACACTGGGCCAACGTTTGACTCGTCTAAGATACACGCATTATTTTTCCAAGAATGTTCTCGCGCAAATTTTTCGACAGACGTGAGACAGGAGTTTACTTGGAAGAAACTCACTACTGTTCAGTGGACCCAAGGCCATGGACGCCAGCATACAGGAATTACGGCAACTCTCAAACAATTGTCGATTCATTTGGGCTTCTTAAAATCCTAATAAGCCAGTGAAAGAATAATCGTTTCATTCCAGTTTTTCATCCGGTCGATCTGTTTATGGAGTCCTCAGCTCGCCTAAAACAATACCTAAAACTTAAACTATACTTTGTTCCCATGTTAAAGTAAAGTTCACTTAGACTGGCAACGGTAGAGCGAATCCGAGAACCAGGCCCCATTTTCTCATACGTAAAGTTTTAGAATCTTTCCTATACTGCTTACCTATTCCGTTGATTGCCTATCAGTCTTCGAGTGGTAGCGGCCTTTTCTTTGAATGATGCTGGTGCAATTTCTGTCAAACAATTTCCTGTTTATTTCTCCATTTCTAATTCATTTAGGTTTTACCTGAAAATTCTCGGGTACAGTTACTTTGAAAAGTATTTTAAGTGTAAAAGATGGGAACTGTCGATAAGTTGATATGTTCTCTGATCGTGATCTAACTGCTCATTCCAACAAGTTTCGTTAAATGACTATAATGCGACAGAATTTTGGTCAAACGGCGCATAAAACCTATTCAAAATGAAATATTGTTGGCTTAAATCCACCTATGGGAGCAGCTTATCTTGACAAAACTAATAAATGCGCCAGATTTGTAAAAATACAATAAATCAAAATCACATATGCTTGCACATATCACCAGCTGCAGGCAATCAGACTGAAGAGGGAGTCAAGGTGAATTAACGAACATGTTCGTACATCTGATCCACGTACACCATCTTGCGTTGATTCTTACCTTAATCATAGAAGGATCCAAATTGTTCTGTTCCACAAACCTCTTCAACTCATCCCTGGTGACTGCCTCGGAATTGTCCGTATCGATCGCAAAGAACGCATCTAAGAATGGCTCCATGATTCAATTGTGATATCACAAGAGGATATGAGAGCTGTGTTTGATTTGCGTGCACACGTCAAAACTGGTTCTAACAATGTCGATTTATCAACAAGGATAAACCTTTCAGCAATCTGTAGTTCACAGCTCTTATGGTACAGATAGAGAGAGAAAGAAGTAAATGTTCAGGTTGATTGCTTGCTCATTCGATCAACAAATCACTGAGTGGGTTGATATTGGCATAACACACAAAGAGGCAAGGTTCAAGCATTTCATCGAATCGGAATTAGAGCGGCCCACCTTCAGTCAGTAAGCATTGGTGTTTGTTCAGTTGGCTACCTGCGGATATTCATCTGAGTTCATTATGGGGTAGTCGGGAGAAAAGGAGGGAGCACATGGGATTTTCACACCTGGGATTCATTTTGAGAATGCTGCTGATACAACTCGTGCTTATCCAGCTGTTGCTTCTTTTCGCAGCTCATTACTGGATTATTTAACGAAATGGTAAGATTTAAACAGTAAACGGTGGTTGTCACGAGACCACTGAAATAGAGAAACCAATTTCAGCATTCGGTATTTGTTTAAATGATTTCCTTGTTCATTGAAAAGCACTGAGAGTGAAGCGTTTTTTTTTATTATTCATTTTCAAGCTTGTATACTAAGATACGATTATGAGGTGAAATCACAAATTGAAACTCACGAAAGAGAGTGGTTTGGAATCAGTTGATCACACTAATTACACAACGCGATCATGCGGTTTTCGTTCGATTTTCGCACCAATAGTTTATTGCATCATGTCATCTGATGATGACAACTTCGGAGTGTGGATAGTCCGTTTTGTTTGCACAGTTTGGTGTGGTAGATCCAAATGAGTGTGCACAGCATAATTTGTTCCAGCAGGGTTTCGCAGATCCATCGGGGCTCTTTGGATTACCTTGATTGATCTTTGAACATCTAACGAATGCTCCACATGGTTTGCATACTTCACAAGTAAGTTACGGATGACTATGGTTAACTATTTTCTCCATCAGGTCGGTTGACGCTCTTGAGTCCACTTGATCAACTGCCGCCTGGTGAGAGAGATGTAACCGGCTTGGGAGGGCACATAGCAAGCGAATTAGGTCGGGATAAGAATGGCGAAGACACCATTAAAAAACAACTAACTATTTTGCTAACGCTACTAAAGGATGAGAACTTAATCACCGCGAAGGAAGTCGAAAACCTATAATTCCTAAGACTCAGGGATCACACATTCTTACCGCTACTCCAAAGTACAGAAGGCGAATTGTCCTCGGTGATCCATAATTCCTACTTCTGATTCTTGGTACCATTCAACCTCAACAAGACTGATCTCCAAGCTAGAAAGCATGTGGCAGAAAGTAGTGAAATTCAGCTTGCGCTACAAAGTTCAGTTTGTTAAAATAGTCAAAAACTAAAAATCAACAACACAATGAGATCTTTGTTGGTCATGCCATTACTTTTTAAGAAGGTTTCACTTGTCAAAATGGTTACTTAGCGAAGCTGGAGATAAAAACCGCCATTCAGACATATGAAGAAACTAATTTGACGTTACATAATGAACAGTCAGTTTTTATGCTATGGACATACACTCGGCGACAGAAGTATTGCATCCCATTAGTGTTTTTTTATTATCTTCGCGCTCACAAGCACGATCATCACCTTTTTCATAATCCAACCAATAGTCAATTGAAAAGGCAAAATTTCGTCAAACTGTCTTTAATCTTAACGAAAATAAATCATAAAAGCGGCATTTTTAATGTGACACAAGTTTTGCACTCCAATACCCTTTAACTATCAATGGCTATTTAATACTACGTAGAAGACGTCGAATTGCTTTCGGGTTGATATTATTTCCTTACCTAATCAACAATGCCTTCAACTCATATTTTCTGATGTAGTTTTGGTGCATCTTTTGGGTAAGAATTACCAAATATTTTCTACAATGTTCACGTTTGGGATGAACACAGGTCACATCATTTGCATTAATGCCTTGAAATACTGGCAGGCATTTCATTAGCTACGAGTAATGAACTACGGTGAGATCACGCTGGAGAATGGTGACAGATTGATCATTCGATGTCACTGTTCGCATTAAGTGGCGCTACAACGTACCATCACGGATGTTTGATTGTCATTCGGCTTACTGATGTACAGCTCTTTCAACAGATCATGCTACATCAGTTCTACTTAAATCTCATTAACCAATCCGTTTATTCAAGTTTCATGAGTTTGAGTTCCAAAACTTTTTTCTGATCATCAGGTTGCCACCAATCTGCACGTTTTCATTTTCTTGTGTTTCCTTTTGGAAACCATTTCAAATTTTCATTGTACCCTTCCCACTGAACGTTTAACTCAAGCAACGTTTCGATCTTCAATGCATGACTCACGGAGTTTGAGGCCATACGTACCAACCTGCCCTCACCTTCCCACAAGTGCTTTTTCTGGCGCCCATTATGACTGCACGGGTTTTATTAGTTATATTCTCCTCACACATCGTGTCGTAGCGGGATCGATTCATGGGGCTGCAATACGTTTATCGCGGCGAAAATTCTGCTTTTTCGGCATCTTCGTCAAAGTGGAAGACAATTTCGTAAAATTTCGTATTTCGGCTCTTCATTTTGTTGTCTTCTAGATTCACAAAAATGGTTATGATCGTGCTTCAGGGGAACGGAAGTAATCTAGAAATGTAGATCAGATGCTAAGTATCTGCCCGGGTGCATGCACCACCAAGTTGATGTTGTGGCAATGAGTTCACAGTTTATGGCTTCACAGTAGAAATGGAACTGATGTCGCAGTAGGTCAAACAATTACATTCTATCTCAACAGATCACCAGAACAGTGTGCTCTTAAAAATCAGCATCACTTTTTAGCAACTTGATCTAACAATTCCTAGATTTTCTAAACCAATTCAGTGCTATCGGTGTGGCCTCGTAGGTCAGCTGGTAGAGTATGCGCATGCAAAGCATAGGCGGCGTCCAGGGGTGGGTTCGAATCCCACCGAGGATACTGAACTTTTCAGAATTGACATATAAACTTCAAATCTGCCAAACAACAAGTTGAACAATTCATCCGTAATTACAACAACCTGATTTGATTTGGCATGTTACATAATCACTACCGGTGCCTGATGCATTTGAAATGAGTGAACACTATTTCAGCCAAATGTCTTGTTATACTCCCATGATGACTTTTACTGTTTGTGGATTTTTCATTCGTGTTTCATTTTTGAATCACAGGTGGGGTGTCAAATGAAAGAGACTCGATGCGAGTCGCTTTCCATACGTCTTTTTTAATGTAAGAAAACAGTTTTATAGGGCTGAAGTGCATTCATACATAAGCTTCATCAGATGTGAGAAACGGCATACTTCATGTGTTGGTTCCAGTGTAGGAATCGGTCTAACTGCACCCAAGTTGTTCACCATCAGTTATATTTTGTCATGGACAGCAATCAACTATGTGTATGTGTTCCTTTCTCCCCTACCCACGACTAGATCTTATCAACCATTGATCCCATTACTGAATCAGTTGTAGTTCGTTTCTCTAGAAACGAAAAAACAAACGTCATTGCGTTCAAAAATAGTCTATTTTGATGGAAAAATGAACTTTGATTCAACACGAGAAAGGCAAGAATATCATTGGTGATCGTTTTCGCATCGCTATAAATTTGGTATCTTGTCCATTCATTTTGCCGGTGCCCGGGAAGGAACAAACGTAGACTTGAAATGAATCTTACCTAGTTGTTACTAATAGGCTAGAACCTGGTCCGTATAACTCACTAATGTAACGCTGAAGCATGGTAGTATCTTTGCCAAAAGATCCTTATAAGTGGTTCCCTTTTCCTGAAAATGCATCTATGAATCCAATCCATTTTCTTCCGATTTTCAAGAACTAAGAATGCTGCGTAACGCATTACATACATTTTGCTCAGAAAAATATTCATTGCTCAATGAACAGTCTGAGCCCAGAAGTACCTTACTGAACAGTTAACAAATGAAAACGCTCAAGTCAGTGATCTTTCTGCCATCCGGATTCTTCGTCCGCGTTAAAAGCAAACAGATTTAGGAATGACAAAACACAAGACCATATCGCAGTGCTACACGAATTATCTTTTGCTCGATTGTGCTGTATCTGAAGGCTATGCACACTCCGGAAAGTGCAACGTTTACAAATGGCTGTGGCATGGTAATAAAGTAAAGTAAATAAATTGAAACAGAACATAAAAGACGGGAAATAAAAGAATCATGTCACTACGGTAAAGACAAACTAACATGAACTTATTTTTTGATACAGAGGTACAGTTTTTCACTTATTTCTATTTCAGAATAGGATAGGATGAAACCGAATAGTGCGCGTAATAGCCTCAGTGATTGATCGATTAATGACTTACATGATGGGCACATCGAAAAAGACAAACAGTGAGAAATAAAAAGTGTACGCTTACAACCACTCCGGCAAAACACGACATTCCGAGCCTACGGTGCGACAAACACGCCTGAGGAAATATTAATCAATAACCGCATTCTACTCGAAAGAACGTGAAATTTTAATAAAACATGCTTATTCAAAACTGTGCATGTTGCGCAAAGACGTATCAGAAGGTCAACATCAATCAAACAGAGATGATAGAAAGAACGGTTGAAAAGACCGACAAGAGATGGCATCTACTCAGATCATTCATTAGACGCACGGATGTAGTTTCTTACAATATTGAAAATTGGACAGATGCGCAGTGAAAAACAGAACGATTTGGTTGCAGTTCCAAAATCATTCATTTTTCCATTTTGACGAATAGTCCCAGCAAAACTAACAATAATTCAACAAGTGTACTGCCGCTTCTCTGTCATATACGTACATATGTATCCTGGGTACTTCAGTGGAGCCATTTTACAATGAACTTGGTGACAGACAATCTCAGATACATCGATTTGGCTCGTTTGAAATTGCAAAAATTGTTCCGTTTCGACAATTTACGCTACAGCGACGGTGCACAGTGTGAAATCGGTCCGGGGACCTCCTTCAATCTCGATTTCATCACCTAACTTCCACACTTATGTTTATCTTTCAAAAGCCCATGTTTGGTTACCCTCCTTACTCTGAAAGTGCTTGTAAGCTGGACTTCTCAATAAAACACGTGAAAACATTTAGCAAAAATGATATTGTACCTGACTTCCTATGTAATTTATCCCATTGCACGGTTTAAAGCAATCATAAAAATCGTTTAATGCTTGGGACAGATTTTCCTCTTAAAACCACGGACAGGTATAGTCTTACTGCAAAGGAGAAGTCTATCTAAGTTTGGGTTACGTTTTCCCAGCTGATCAAGCATGTGTTATTAACCATTTTGATACGTTGAACTTTTAAATAGCTTTGTAAACCGACTCATGCGTTGATATCACGCCTGTACTAGGGTAAGCACATCTATGATTGTGTGCACAATAAGTAATGCGGCTAAGATCGTCACTCAAGTATTGGTTGACATATTTGTAGCCCCCGGGATNCGGCATGGGATGAAACGGATAAGGGACGACGTCTGATCTGCACGGGTTTATTCTAGCAAAAAGGCTATTGTGAACCAAGTCCATTGATCTGTAGACTTGAAATTGACAGCCATTGGTTATTGCCCACTGAAACCGAACAGTAAATTTTGAAACAGTTGTGTATTTACGCTCTTCGCTGGCAGGCCAACATGTCTTTGAAATTTTCCCGGAATCACACAGTTCGGCTTGGATACAGAAATTCACAGGGGTATTCGTGCTGCTGTATCTAAAGAAAAGGAATACATATATATAATTGGTACATCCACTTAGAAAACAAGCTAGAGTGATGAGCGTGAAAGAGATAAAGAGATTTTAACCGGTCGCAAAAGCGGAAGGGGGACAAAGTGGTGTGGTAAATTGAAAAAATAAAACAAGCAACTTGGGTATTTGAGTCTTGTTTCAGTTTTTCTTATTTTTTCAACCTATGAAAATACTACTGAAACAATCCACAATGTTCGAGCAGAAAACGGATTTGTGGATTAGGATGACAGACAGAGAGACAAAGATCAGTGTGTTTGCATTCCAAATTAATTTGTACAACCGACCACTTGGAGAGGCACATCGTATTAAGGACTGCTTGTTTTCCATATCAAAAAGCAGTTATCGTTGAACTGGAAGTGAAACGAATGTTCAGGCACATGAGAGAACGTTATCCAATAGGACCCATCCACGATCACAACGTGCCACGATTTACCGTATGTCTTGTCCAGGTATTCCTTTAACTGCCGTGTCAGGCTCTGACGATCTACCGATTCCATTCTGCTGACCAGTTTCTTTGTGTACTCGGCTATTGCGATCTGTTCCGCCAGCGACATATTTGCAGCGATCTTTTTGATGTCCGATGGGAGACTGGGGACGTTTTGCACATATACCTCTCGATTTTTACGTCTGTGAATGAACAAAATTTGATGCTTAGTCTTGATAACATGGGGCACGATGAAAAACCCGCATTTTGCGCTAATATGACATACGTTTTAAAGCAAATGCCTTAGGGGATTGTTGGTTGTCCTTTGTTTTTACTTGCAGTTACCAAATTCATCAATGGTCGGTAAAACTGGGTAGGAATAATCCATTTTTAATAATCCACGTGAAGTAAACTAATACATCACGGTGAAGTTTTGGCCTAGAAGGGTGCAGTCCAGCCATCTAGAGATATCAATTACCCTGTTTCTTTTATTTCTCAATCACATTAGATATGACGCAGAAAAAGATCGACTTATGTTATGTGTGTTTCCGATTCATAACACATTCGGTGGATTTCGATTGCAGTAGAAAAAATATGAATGCACAAAGTTGACTCTGATGTTTTTGCAAAGAAGGGGTTAAATGCCTCTCGTAAATTAAGTGTATCGGTCGGTCAGTCGGTCAGTCACTCAGTCAGCAAAGGTGTCGGTCGATCATACAGTCAAGTCATCAATTACTTAAGCAACTACAGTTTATTTGTCAACTGGTAATATGTCAGTCGTCTTCATTACGCGTGAATAAGATATTCAATTTTCTTCTCCTACGTGGAATTAAATATGGTAATATCCAGTGAACAAGTCCCGTTTTCTTCATAACCAAGTGCAGTTAACTAACTGATCGAAATCGAGTAGACTGTTTCTTCAAGGAATCTGCATAGGTTTCTATTTCTAGAATCGTAGTGAAAGATTTAACTCCTCCAGCGGACGTTACGTTCTCTGTCCGTTTAATGTGATCAACCTACCTTTTTCACAGGAGCGCATCATTTATGAAAGGTATGGTAAGTAAAGTTGAGTCAGTTTTACCGGTATCCTGTCGGAATCCATTACTTTGTTTTGGAATCCGCATTGTGCTTCATTGGAATTAAAACCGACATCTGCCATTGAACAACTTACGCAGCTTCCAATTGCACACCGAGTACATCGCAGAAAGAATCCAGTGTGATACTGCCAGTGTTATCGGGGTCGAACAGTTCTTGCCATCGCTAAAAAAACAGAAGATGGGAAGTAAAAACGATTCACGAAATTTTAAGTGAAAGCTGAATGAATTTCAAAAACTTGAAGCTCGTAAAAATATAGTGTCATGTGTGCTTGCGAAACAGCCGTTTACATAATGCTGTGCAGTTTCTAAATGATAATTCTAACACGTTACTTAGGCTCAACACGTATGCTTCCTCATAAATAATAATGCCAATATGCGTTTCAATAAAAATTTCTCTGTCTGAACAAATCGGAATCCACCAAATGAACTAAGATGGTAAAACAATTTTATTTACCGATCGCACGGTTGGCAGATATTTTTCTGAAAGACCAAATCAAAGCCAAATTGTTAGCTGCGTTGTTTCGTTTCAAATGGAAATACCTATTGGCTAACACTGTCATCCTAGCTCACAAATACATTTTGCAGCACTTTCCCCGGGAATATGTCCTTACGGAATCTTCAAAACTGATGGGTAACTTAAAGTAATGTGGAGCGCTATTGATTGGCTTATACATCATAAGCAATGTGTTTGTGCTTTGTTTGTTTATGGTAAATAAAATGCAATCAACGAAGTCAATGCGTATCCTGGACACTCATCAGACAGATTTGTTAAATCACTGAGGTTTTCTGCTGGTCTATCACCTCCCGTTTTTTGAGATACAATCAGGGCTTTGTGATTTACTGATCTAAACACGTTAAGACCGATCAGACTGTTGTAGACTGCAACAATGGAAGGTAGCCTAAATTCCACGTATAACAGATGTGCTTACGCGGCTTTTAGTTCGTGCTACTACTTTGTTTTTAATATTCTTTTTATTGATTACCCTGAAAAGCATATATAACAGACATTGTGAATAGAGGTGGTACAATAATAAGTAGGAGAAAGCAGGCTAACGTTTAGCTGGTTCGGTTTTCAGAAGTTTAAAGCTTGTATTTCAAACTTTTGGATTGAATAAGCGGGGCATGCAATACCATATAGACATATCTTAGCAGCTTCCGGATTTGCAAAATACGTTCAACTATCCTATTGCTTCCAGTTAGGAAGTAGTGAAGGGGGCACGAAACAAATGTTCTCTTTATGCCATAAGCTAAGGTCCGCTGTGAACCGTGTACGTATTAATTGATAAGTGTGTGTTAAGGTGTGCTCTTAGCTGATCGTTTGATCATGATAACATCTCCCAACACAAAGGATTGTATCTCTTTCATCTTACACATTTACTGAAGGTAACATCCCTCGGTGAACTATAGTTGAGTGCAATGAATGAACCAATAATTCTATCATTTAATCTGTAGCATGAATGTAGTACAAAGGTGCAACATGAGGGTAAATTTGACGGTTGAAAGAGCTGTATCTGTGCCCATCGGTCACTGTACCACCTTCCAAGGCATATTCCACAACCACCACCCTGAAGGAAGCAGTGCATGGTACACACACACGCTAATGTGCACATATTATTGCTTGACTTTCCGTGTCATGGGTTACAATAATTCTGTCCCGACTCAATGGATCCGTGAGAGAGAGAGAGAGAGCGAGAGTCGGTGTGCAGTTTTCAAGCATTGTGAAAGTGCAAATGGAACACAACAGACAGACTATCACATTCCAGAACGATATCGAATTGCACAGTTTCGACATCAGCTTGTGACCGTGATTGGAAACTTCAGGTCATCTATGGTGCGTGCTCGTATCTATGTATATGCATGGGGGCCTTTTCCAAATTCGTGAGCTAAGATAGATAAACTGCGTTAGACAAATGTGAAAGTGAAAATCGGAGAAACTAATCCACATGAAATTGGTATAAGGCTTAGGTGGAAACCGGTTTTGTCTTGAACTGTAAAAGTTCCACGACACTCCCTAGTAGTTAATGTTACTCAGGCCTTTCAACTTTCCATCGTTTGAAAGGACTGCAACCAACGGTTAATTTCAAACAGTAGCTTGTATTTTCGTAGAACTTTCTGTTAATTCGATCGTTTTCAGTCAAGACTGAAACATTTTGCCGAATCAGTTTACATTTGCAACCATTTCATCATTAACCGAAGTGACATCTTTACTGTTTGTGGAGCGACGGTACTCTGTCTATACCCGGGGTATGAGAACCGATTTCCAATCATTTAGTATTTGCGAACTGTCTTCTAAGAAATTCAGTCCTTCAGGACCGTAATCGTTCCCTGTTGAATTTCCATTGAATCAGAAGTCTTCGGGTGCATTGTTTTATGCAAGGATAGGATTGAATTTGTTAAACGCGTCCAATAACCCTCAGTGGGTATGTCGATACTTGTTTAGAAAGTCTTAGAACTCTAGAAAAGGCGGTTTTCGATTCGTTAAGGTCATTAAGCTAGCAGATTAGTGATCCTCAGGTCGCATTCCACCAGTACCACCCATCCTACCCATTTTGTATTTCCCCAGTTAGTCTTTATGCGGCTGCGGTTTCTTCCGTGAAAGCTGACTGTGCGTTTACATACTAAATAGATGCGAAAGAAAGTAAGGGATAAACTGGATAGAAAAACTGGAATATGATACCTGATCTGAATACTGAGAAGCCATAGATTTTGGAATAAAATCCAAGTTAGAAGTGCTAATCAGACGCAGGGTACCAAAATTTGTACAAATTTTGAAAATCTTACTTCAGAATAACAGTAACAAAATCAACTCTTCCAGAAATAAGCCTGAATTGTAATGAAAATGATGGTTGTTAGTCGTAGATGCATTGAGCAAGATCATGTTAGTGACGTTTAGAGACGAAATCTGAACACATACAAGACATATGTGCCACTATGTTTCACGTAATCGGGGATCTGAGTGTTCAGCAATTCAAGGTCTGACCGAAGTTTATGCATTCTGTTGTAGGATACTTCTCATTGGATTTTGTTCAAATTGAAGCCCTCTGCATTGGCCGATTATGCACACTACGCCCCCTTTTCGTTCGAGTGGGACTCGTCTGTAGTGCACTGCTTTTGGAACAGTAGGTTAATATAATAAAGTACACGGATACCAATGCGATTAATTTCTGTATGTATTGATTCTGTGTCATATTGTTTGAGAAGGCTTAGAATCAAAAGCCTGTCGCCACCTAATGCTGTTGGTTACCGGCTTTCCTAGGTGATGCAACATGCTATTTGTATCGGCAATCTGACGCCCTCCAATGGGTGGGTGATGTTTGTTTAAAAGTAAAGTCCCTGTAACTGGCGTGCTTTGGGGCAAAATTTCCGTGATTTGAATCTCATCACAACCACCATCACAACTTTCTTCGTACAATATTTTGCCGTCATCCAGCCAAGCAGGTCGGTCATCCTTTTGAGTTTGTATGTGAATGGTCAGTTCAAATATCAGCGCTTAGTTACCTTAATACAATAAAACTTCATCTCACAGTCGTGCTCACTAAAAGGGATGAAAAACGACAAGATCAATATCTACCATGGTCACATTGATTGAGTTCTCGCTCAGAATAAAAGGCTGAACTTTATAAACAAAATACCGAAGGGATCTTTCTATTTTGCTTCAAATCGATCTGATATTCGATTCAGTCTAACTTAATGTCCTTAAAGGATTTGTCTTTTCTGTATGTGATTCTCATACCATTCCGACGAACAACGGGGAACACATTCAGATCATTGCACTTGCACATATCTGAACGGTTAAGTACACGAAGTCTTTAGTACTGTTTTAATTGATCACATGTTGACTACTTAGAAATCCCTCATAAAGCGAATAATGAATGGCGGGGAAACATTCTACGAATTAAGGCCCAGATACTTGCAATATGGTTAATTCTTTTTGTTTCTTGTGTTTGCAGATATAATGCTTAACTTATGCTTGAAAGATGTCAAAAACCAGTCACTCAACCACCCTCTTCAACGCATTTGATTGCTATTTTAATGGGCTAAATTTGAATCACTTAATTAATCTGATAGCACCTTATCAAACATCTTCGGCTTTTCAATGAAGAGTACCCATATTAAGATGCTTGAATTGTTCGCCAGACACTCTTCATGAAATGGTTACCGTCATTTAAATAGATCGACACTTTAAATAGGGAACAAACGAACCAATGATTTTATGGGTAACACTATAAAATTGTACGGGTGATCGAAGTAATAAGTGATGCGTCGCAAGGAGTTTTGATAGCCGGCCTACATCTGTAGTTGTATATATTTCTGGATGGATAAAAGGGATAATGCGTAAACAAATAAACAAACAGACATATAGGTAGGTAGATAGCTAATCAGATAGATGGACATCTGTCTTCGTGAAACCAGCGATATCAGTAACAAAAAAATCAGTTGACAAAGTATTGAAAACCGGTTATTGTAGCTCGGGTGAACTGAATTAATTTTTGTCTGTTAGCCGTACTTGGTAATAAGTTTGCAAACGTTTCATCAACAGCCCAGGTGGCATCTTCAGTATACTAAACATTGAACTACGGACCCTTGGGTTGGTAGCAAAGGTTATTAACCTGAGGTCCACAAGCAATGGTCGACCCCTACGCGCATAGGCATGGCTTTAACTAGTTCTCGTTTTATTTCATTCCACATAAGAGACACGGAGTCCGAGTAACTTTGTATCGGCTCCTAAACCAAAGGTTCATGCCTAGAAACATAGACGTTGCACGAATGACTGCTGAATCGCGGCAAGGTCAAAACAGCTGCCTAGTGTTCTTTGTCGCCCTTTATACAACCTCGATTAAAATGTACCGGGAATGTGAGGAGGAAGGAAACCAACGCGAACCAGACTCCGTGCGGGTGAACTTGCATGTAACAAAAGAAACGTGTTGCACTTCAGATCAGAAATAATTTGATACAAGCATCGGTTGTTGTTCAAGAAAACTTCAATTTCAACTTGTCCAGCTTAGTTCCAGTCAGCTATCACAATTAGTTCTAAAGAAAATAGGCCAATTAAATGAATGCTAGATTCAAACATTTGGCATGCGCATCTACTGAGAGGTTCCTTAGACATTCATGTTCTTCTGAACTTATAGTTCTGATGTTCGATTGATAGTGCCGGCATAAGTGACAACGCACTGGGATAATATGAGTTCACTAACTGAGTAAGGTTGTTGCTGCTACTGGTGATATGCGCCAATATTCTGCATTAGATTTTCACTAGATCCGTTTATTTGGTTACTGCGAATGTAATTTTTTGGTATTGTGAGATTTATCGACTGAAAATGAAATAAGTAGAACTAAGCATGCAATCCCACTGCTGTGGTAGTTATGTGCCGTTTGAGTTAAACAGAAGTACCTCGGATAAGCATTTTGGAAGAAGCTTTTTATTTAAAATGGCACAAGCTTCAATTTGTAAATTATATTTTATCAGTCGTGCAACTCGTAATAACCGGTGTGGAAGGCCGTATCGTGATGAACCGACGCTATGGAGCTCACGATTCCGCTTGATTAGGGTTGTTTCTATCAATTGCTAGTGAGACGTTTGAAATAAAACGATTAATTCCCTAGGTTGGGTTTCACTTGTGTAAACAGAAAACAAGATTTCATCAACTGTTAAGAAGCGAATTGCTATGGATAAAACGAAAGCCCCGAGAAGTTGTGTGGCTGTGGTGTGATTCGAACGCACAGCACCTACCGGCCAAAGTATCGATGATCCGAAACGTTCTAGCCTAACCAACCGTACAAAGTCGTTACATTTACCGATTCAAAAAATTTAGATAAATACACTTATATTATCGAAAATTAGGCAGTGGGTCACTGATCCAAGGAATTGCATTCAGTTTAACTCCGAATGTGATCTAATTTATCAGTGCATTGGGTCAAAAACAACATCTGAGAGGTAAGTAGACGTTCTAGAAATTGCAGTTGAAAAAAAGGTAAATTCATTCCCATTTTAGTCTCAAATTCACACAAAAAACCGATCATTGGCTTGAATCATCCAAAAACGATCACTATTTTCATCTGCTTAGCAACGCAAACTTGGCAAACTTGGCCACTCATGTTTGTTTGTGGATCTGCCATAATTATTTATTCAGTGACGTTCTGCCTAAGTATATACACACGCACTGTTGACTCCTTTGGCTGTACCCACATTGCCGTTCAGAGCCAGAATCCCAAACATCCACTCACCTTAACCATGGTCACATCGAGGCCATTACGCTCGACATACTCGTGTAGTTCATTGATGGTAATCACTTCGCTGGCGTCCGTATCCACCGCGTAAAACATATCCAAAAACGGATCCATTGTTCGATCAATCAGTGGTGTTTGTGCGTGTGTGTGCGCAAGCGATTGGTTCTGCCCGGTCGAAATCGATTGTTCACCGCTTTTCGACGAGTTCGGCAGTTCTCAGCCGGTCGTGATGTAAATGTATCATCAGAGTGCCTGTTCACACACATATATATGGACTCCCACATGTGTATAATATCAATTAACTTCTGACTAGCGGAGGACGTACAAACACACACACACAAACCGATCACGTCCACGCGCATTGGACCAGTTCATCGATTTGGCCCATACCTGTGAAACTTCGACCCCTTCAATACACCTACCTTGAAACCACCGTCACACAACCAGAGCCCGTAAAACTGAGCAAAATCGAATGAATTTAGGTTTACGCGCAAATAGCTGGCTACACACACCAACGCACATATGAGTAGGCCAAAGCACACAAATGCGCACATAAACGCGCACACGTGTTCATGCTTCAATTAGACTGGTACATGTGTAGGTTGCCGGTAATATGAGTCGGTATTCCAGTGGTCGTGGAGGGGACATTTTTGTAGTCCACTCCCGGATCTTAGTTTGTTGTCATCTACGGCTAAACTTTATTGTTGTTGTTCTTGTTGTTTCATTGTCGGAGTAGGGTTTCATTTTGTGTATCGCCTACCACACATTTTGTATTCTTTTCCACTGATGACCTTTTGCGTAAAATTCTGATTTAGTCTCGGTAATCTGTGAGCACGTACACGTTAATGTAAGTGTACGTTGGTGCGCGTTTAATAGAGTGTGGGCATGTTTCTATGCGTATCGACCTGGGCATAACAGGACAAACAGTCGTGGAACGTGGCGACCAAAAGATTGTATACCGGAGTCATGAGCACGCACATATCTATCAATAGTGCACAAATACGCAGATCTGGTAGCTGACAGCCGATAATTTTGATCACCAGGTGCACAACTCCAAAAGTACGCATTGGAAATTGCACCAAGCTCAAAGTTTAACGTTGGTGGGAAGTATAACCACAAAGCGGATTACCACATCTAAATATGTGACATCAGCACCAAACAGTTGATCCAGAAGATTTATTCAAATGGGACGGTATACTGCCCGGGAATTCCAATAAATAGTGAGGGCAATATGAACGCACGAAAAACTGCGCAGTTGGACCTACCCGAAACGCAAACCAGGATTTTTCGTGATGGTTTTGTATATAGCCTTACTCGAAAATTAGCCTTTCTTTAGAACTTCAGCTATCAGATAATTCTAAAACTTAGAAGCAAACTAATGTGTGCCATAAGGTAGCAACGGCCAAAACAATTGCACTTTGGGTTACTCAAAGCCCGATGCGCCAAATCCTAATGAACTTTGAAAGCGTACTTACCAAACTCATAGTCCTTTATTTCTGGTTTGTCTGAGATAACTGCTGTAAGGCCTGACTGACTTCTTTTTGATCGTTTTGCTGACTGTCCCGTCAGAGTAAACAACATACACGTTTGAGCTATTACCAGGTGTATCGACCAGAAAATAACCTTTTGGTTTCAAGCAGACTAAATCTCGCCTTGGTTCTGGTTAACAGAAAGGTCAAAACAAGATCATCGACCCCAAAAGCAAATACGTCACACGTCCAATCCATGAGTACACTATAGAAACTTGTTATTGTTATCCATCAAAGAACAGACGCCTCCGATGAGCACTGGCTGAAAAACGGACTACAGAGGTACTAAGCTTGATCGCCAAGTGGTCAGAAATTCCAGATCAGTGAACCTACTTGAACCATTAAAAATGAAATGCTAAGGGATAAAAGTGTATCTCAGGTCGGCGAGCATCATGCTCTGAAATGAAAGACATCTTCCATGAGTGGATTACATAGAGACAGCAATACATGGACTCCGTGCATGCCTGAGTTTGGAGCCTTACTATTGCAGCACCATTTCAATGTTGATAGATCCACAAAGGACGTAGAAACCATCATAACACTGACTGAACGGGTTCTATTCTTGATACACCAGGCATGAAGCTACGAAGATTGACAACGCTATCGAACCTGAAAGATGATAAACCTATGGAACGTACCATTGCATTGAAGTATTTTATAGGTGATTTAGAGTTATTTTAATAATCTCAACTAGCCTACAACATTACCATGTTTGCAGGCCCAGAACAGCAAACGATTATGAACCATAAATGTGCCCCTTCAATGAAAATTTTGTTCTCTGGTTACGATAGGACACCTTACGTGCAATTCGGCAGTTTATCCAAATGGGAAGCAAGATTCAACTTTAACCATTCCTAAGATATGGAAGATAAGGTCCAGCGTGTTTCCGAAGTTCATGTTCTTCAAACCCCAAAAGGACTTGATGCAAATAAGCGAGGTCATCAACGTGGTCTGATAGTCTGCAGTTCGACCATCCCATTAACCGTGAGCAACAAATCGCACCGAATAAAATATTTGTTCCCATTGGAAAGACCTCAATTCTAATTCCAATTCATATAACAAAAATAAAATTTTTAAAGACCATCTGAATACAGATATCAATCACTTTTTCAAATGAGCTTGTGGAGTAACCAGCATGAGAATCACATGAATTCTAGTTTGAAGGGGTCGTAAATGAATGATGATGAATGCTTGAGACAAAACCAGCGAGCGCAGTCGTAATCAACGTGAATACTTATTTAGGAAATGTGGAATTTTCAAATGCGAGAGAATTAGGTGAACGGTTCTACAAAACATGGACTCACTACAAATTCAAGAGGAATTAGATATGTGAAGTTTTATAGAAAAAAACATTCCCATCGATGACCTGGTAGTTGCCCAACTATGCTATCTTCTGTTTAACGTCAATCTCATTCTTTCCTTTGATTTGTTCCTATCGATAAGATTTTGACATCGATAACACACGCTCAAACAAGTTACTTTTGGGTGTTATTCGCAATAATTGCATTGCTCTTTCCCCTCAACTGTCGCGGAAA